TTAAATTAATTTCAATAGTTGAATTAATTTCAACAGTTAAATTAATTTCAATAGTTGAATTAATTTCAATAGTCAAATTAATTTTAACTACTAAAAATAAATTTAGTTTTAACAATTAAATTTAATTTTTATAGTTAAAATTTTTTAAAATTAAATTTTAATTTTACCTTATCTATAATTTTGAAGTTCTCTAGCTATATCAATGAGAAGTTTAGATAAGGTAATTGGTATTATCTGGTTTATTTGACTAATCTGGGTGTGATCAATTGGTAGATTAAGTTTGTTAGTAAAGTTAACTATTATATACTCTAATAGTAAAAGTAATATAAACTTATAATGTTGTTCTATTTTGGTTACAAATTTTTTTGCAAATGTTTTTTTTTTAATAGAAGAACATAATTGTTTTAGATTTTTACTGCTTTGAAATTAGCCAGAAGTCTTGGCTTTTGAACCATATAATTATTAGATAAGCATTTAAAGCTATAATAAGAACAAAAAAGATTTGTGAAGTTTTTAATATCTTTTGTATTTTTTGAGCTACAAGAAAAGTAGCTTTTTAAGTTGTGAGGTAGTTGTTGGAGGTTGAGGAAAGTGCAGGTTTAGATGCAGATAAGTTAAAATATCTAGATTGTATTTTTTTTTCTAGCTTATATAAGTTTGCAAGTTTACATTGATATTCAAAGAGATGGTGTAGTGCTACTTAATTAGTAATTAAGAATAGATTTTTGACTAGAGAGTGTAGTTCTGAAAGGTTTTCTGAAAGTTATATAAGCTGTTCTTCAAAGAAAGAGTTTTGAACTTATATATTTTCTAAAGTACTGTTACTATAGCTTTGGTGTGATTATAATTTTGTATTGGCAGTTTGAATAGTAATACAGGTGACCCCCGATAATATCAACCTACGTTAATATCAACCTAAGCCACAAATCAAGTTTTTACAAATTTTTATATATCAAAATTCCCTCGTATATATCAACTTTAATATGAATTTTCGTTAATATCACTATCAACATAATTTTGAACAGGTTCAAATGGGTTGATATTAACGAGGGTCACCTGTATTTTGATTATATTGGCCTGTATCTCATCGATCAATAATAGAAGAGGTTAAAGTCTTTTAGCTAGAATATTTCTGATAATGTGTCTTGTGTCCTTGAAGCTAGTAGAGAGATCAATACAAGTAAAGTTTATATAATAAAAGACTTTATAAGTAATATTATAAGTATTTGTTTTGATAAAGTTGATATTTGTGATATAATCAATAGTAATTTTCTCTTTAAGCCTTTGCATAATCTGGTTCCTGTTATTTTTATTTATAAAACAAGTTTTATAGTATCTTTTATATTTTTCTAGAGCTATATTAAATAGTGCTTTAAACTTTCTTTGATATTATAGTATTGTTTACTTGTTCTATATAAAGAATTTAAAGAAGGCAGTATTATAATAGTTGAATTTAAAGTTAATTATTGCAAGTAGGTTGTAAGAGGTAGGTTGTAAGTTGGCCTTGTATTAAAAGAACTCTATTATTTTTTTTTTGTTCTAGATAGCTTCTAAGATTTTATTATTATTCTACTTGGCTAAGTTAAAAAGCTTGTTTCTTTGTACTAATGCATATAGTATATTCTGGTTTCATAGTATAAATGCTCTATTTGCATACTTAGAAATAGAATATAGCTTTGCTTGCTGCCTAACTATATGTTTGGGGTGGTCTAAAGGTTACAAAGGCTTTAATTTAATTTCTGGCATGAGTTGGCATTGTTGTATTTTGTTGTTGTAAGTTTGTATTTATTTGTTAAAGTACTGGTTTTATTTGGTAGTCTGAATTAGTTGTTTTTTGTTTGTTTTGTTTTGGCTATAAAAAAATTTTTATAGAATCTGGGGTCTAAGAGTCAAAACTGTCTTGTTTTGGTTTTATTATATTGATATCCTAAAATGATGATATTATTTGTATATTATATAATTCTATATGATCTACAGACTAGGGTAAGCCAAAATGCTCACTTTTTGATTTAATGTATAGAGTGTGGTAAGAGTATAGTTGATGGCTTTTGTTGTTAGTATTTTGTTTTGCAATAAGTAGTATAGTCTGAAGTGGTTGGGTTGTAAGTTTTAGAGAATTTTTTAGATCAATTGAGTTTTTGTAATGCCAAAGAGCATTTCAAAGAATGATTATAAATAAAACTTTTGTTATAACATGTTGGGAGATAGCTCCAAGAGTGCACTAATTAGTATGGTAAAGGTTTTTTTGTTTATATGCTTTCTTTGTACTTTGTCTGCTATGCTACTATATATTCTTGGTCTTGTGTAGCTAGTTTGTTTTAAAGGACTCTATATTTGCAATTGTATTACTTATTGTCTAAATAAATTTCTTTGTTTATTTGTTTACTTCTTATTCTACTAGTAATTTGCAGATTTATAGGAAAGAGTTTTTTAATAAATTAAATTATTATAACAAATGATTATTATTGATCTTATTAAAATATAAATTTGTTTAAATTTTAGATAAAATATTCTTTAATGATAAAGATTTGAATTTTGAAGAAAGCTCTGATGATTTAGACATTTATCAATTATCTACATATAAGCCTAAATTTTATAATATAACTAACTGTTAGCAACTATCTTCTAAAATAATAATCTTAAAAGTTAAAAGATTTATATATAATTCCTTTTAGCATTACTGGCATGATTTAGAAAATATTAGATTAATAACTACTTTATTGGACCCATGGTTAAAATCAATGAAAACATGGTTAGAAAAGATATAAAACAAAATGATTAATAACTTACATGATAAATTTAAGATCTGACAAAATATAGTTATGACTAATAAATTAGTCGAAAATACTAGAGAAGAATCTGCAAGTTCATCCATGGCTTTCTTTATAAAAAAGATATTTAGTCATAATAAAGATCAAAGAAATGATAAAATTGAAATTAACAATTATTTAAATAAAGTAGTAATACCTATTCTAGCAGAAACTGCTAATATTTATCTTTGGTAGTGTTCTAATCAAACCACTTTTTCTATTCTAAGCAAAATTGTATATAAATATTTGTTTATTCCTGTTACTTCCATCCCAAGTAAATGGCTTTTCTCTAATGCTGGAAATCAAGTTACTAATAAAAGAATAAGCTTAACACCTAAACAATTAATCATGAACCAGATAAAGGTTATAGATCTTAGACATATAAAATTAAATTTAACTTATAAATAAATGTATTTTTTTTTTTTATAACAAAAATTTTTAATTGTACGTAAATTCTGTGATCTGATTGGTCTATGTTCATGTGATATCTTATTTCTATTAGGTCTACCCGGGTTATTATCTGAAAAATTTCTACCCGGGTGTACCCATCGATCATCCGGGTAACCCGTGGGTTTACCCGCCGGGTACCCGGGTAGCGTTTTTTGAACGGGTCCAAGCACTACTCAATACTAATATGTAATATGTATATATTTATAAAAAGTTTTATTAAGTTTAATAATAATAAAAGCAAAATCTTATCTTTAGCATTTAAAAAAAATCTAATAATCTAAATAAGTAATTTATTTAAAAACTTAAAATAAAAATAATATTCTTATTAATATACTATATTAGTTAGCTTTGATTATACAGTATAACTATTAAAGATTATTTTGTATTGTAATTGGCTTGCTTGATTTTGAAAAAATAGATAATTAAGAAAAAAAATAATATTAGACAACTATTTAACTTTGAACAGCCTTAATAAACCTATCGAAATACAGATTTATAAAAAATTAAATAATAAATCAATTAAAAATCTGTGCAAAACTTCAAACCTGGTAGCTACAAATGTAAAAATTAAATACAATTCTGTACAAAACTTTAAATTCTAAAAAATATTGCAAAAATACAGATTTACACTTATTTAATTTTCCTGATGTCAACAGATTAATATTTCAAAAAATTAATATCTTAGCTTTCTTAACTTATATATCGATAAATTTTAAAGTTCTTTAATAATTTAAAGATAAAAAGAAATTAAACCTTCTTATTTTTTATTGCCAAAATAATTTAAAATTAATAAGCTGCGAAATTAATAAAATTTTTTGAAATGTTAATACTTATTTCTATTGACTGTCGTTTATTTTAAAAAACACTAACAAAGAAACAGGATTTCTAGTAATTCCAAACACAAAATTTGATTAATTTCAATTAAAATTGCCCAAATATTTTCGTATATTAGTCAAGATACTCAATTAAAAATTAAGGAAAAGGATTGTCTCTGAATTTCTCTGAATTAAAAAAAAAATTACAAAAAAGACGGAAAAGCTAGGTACGGCCTTGAATAATAGATACCTCGTATCATAGACAGCTTAAAAATACCCTTATTAAAAATTATGACAAGCATTGATCATTAAAGCTATTTGTTGGGAACTCATATCCTGCCTGTTTCCATGTTGTTAGACTTGGATTTGTATATGCGTTAAAATGCCTATTTTATTGCATACAGAAAAAAATTATTATAAATGGACGTTATTTTTATGTATACGTATATCGTGCCTGAAGGTGGCATATGTCTGAAGTTGCAGACGCCTGAAGTTGCATAGAACCCTAACTTTACAAACATAAAAAATTTCGCTAAAAAAAATTTCGTTGTTAGGATCAGGTTTCACTATTAAATCAGATTGAAAAACCTTTCTTAATACTAAAAATTCGCAAATAAAACTTCTACTAGTGCACAGAAGGTAGTATTTTGGATTACACCTGATCACGAAATTTATTAGCCAACGAAATTTTTTATTCTGGGGCGAAAATTAAGCCCAGTAAATTAGATCTTGCATGCATTAAGTAGTAATTCACAACTTCAATCACGACATGCGCATGTATAGATATTCATTATATATTGATATTAATATAATTACTTTTTAATATAATCAGAAGTAGGATAATCTGGAGGATCACATGATACCTTGACCTTTAGCGGGTCCTGATAAACTCGTACGTAGTCTACGTACATTGTTGAAGGGAATTTCAAATTTCTGAAATCCACTCGACTATATTCTTTCGAAATGCCTAAATTAATAATAATAGACTGCAAAAAGAAAAATAATTTGAATGATTTAATAATTTCAAACAATTTTTTATAATAAATACATACCATCGGCTCTTCGCTTATTATTCTTTGACCTATACCATTCATTTTATTCGGACCAACAGCACTAGCATTCATTCCCCACGTAAGCTGATCACCAATAAACCAACTTATGTATCCATCAGATCCAGGTTCATATTCAAAAGCATATTTTTCGTATGCACAATCGTTATAAATTTCACTATTGACTGTCGTCAATGAACTGGCAGCTTGTTGCCACATTCCACCAACATAAGTGTTGATTGTTGTCACATTTGAATTATTTATATAAATAAAGTCCTTATTAATCATATGGTCTGTATCAAAAGGAGCAAACTGTGCAGATTGCGATATATGATTTTGACCATCATCATCAATAGTTGCTTCCAATACATCAATTTCCGGAGCACCACGACCTTTTCCGGGTGATGGATGATCTTGGCCTGGGCATGTGCATTTGTTAAGGCGTTGACCTTGAACATATGAGAACGTACCCGATGTATCGGATTGATTAGGTGTGATACCCACATCACATTCATCGTAGCTATATGGCCAAACACCATCTGTCGTAGCACCAAAACCAGCGCGGCCCAAATTGCCAAGAGTCCATACAGCAGGCCAAAATCCTTGAGTTTTGCCATCGCCTGGAAGTGAAGCCGAAACTATAAATTTAAATAATATTTAAAGTTTAGTAAGAAGGAAGGGATAAAATGTTAAAAATTAAAAATACCTTCTAGTATTCCCCCTTGAAAGCAAAATTTATTCCAACTTTGTAGCATTCCAGACGTATAATTTAACCCATGAATAATTTCGTTCGTGATGGTAATTTGAAGTTTTCCATCTTT